AACTTCTGAGGCCAGCAGAAGGCAGTGCTGTTGGATTTTGAACCTGGATAGCATGTTTTAAAGCCACGTGAGACATTCTTCAAGCTTGCCAGAAGGTCAAATTTTAGGTCTTTAATTCTTTTCCCTAAAATCTTTAAGTCACTTTGTAACTGGCCAAGCAGCTCTGCAGCCTTTCAAACTCATGTGATGCTGTGTGATCAGGCATTTTCCCAGTGAGCTAGGCTGCTTGGTATGCCAGTATATGAACCCTGTCTTCAGAAAAGCTGCAAGAAGACCAGCTTCCCTCGCCAGGTAGCTGCTGCAGAACACGACAGTGACAGGAGGATTAGACACGAAGGGGAGATGTGACATCACCTGATTTCCAATCTGTTCAGCAACACAAATCAGAGGGCTGAAGCAGACCTGATCAACAGCTGGAGAACCAGAAATGTCACAAGCAACAAACAGTACCAGTAGCAATATTTCAGCCAGAGAAATAACAAAGCAAAGTGCAAGCGGCCAAACAATGCCACCTTAAAACATGGACTATATAAGGGTGTATTATAAATATTGAAAGTGGTTTTTTTCCTCCCCCACAAAATGTTGCTTCTTTATTTCAAAATGTTCCACAGAGGAACCTTTCACCTCTTTAGTATTCACCCAAGAAGATTTTGAAAGAAATACAGAAACTGTCAAAGATATCCAAGGAGTCTACAAAAAGGAAAAAAGTATATTTTGTCCAATGGCATTGCAAAAGTCTGCTTTGATACTCCTAAAATAAAAATGGAGAAAAAATAACTTCACAGTGCTACACATTTGAAGCAACTTCATTTTAATAGGGCATTTGGCATCTATCAAATTATCTAAGCTACAAAATAAGAAATTGTAGCCCTTACATGACAAAAATTTGGAAACTGATCTTCAACGCTTCATGACAAAGTTAATTTTTAATCCTATTTGCATTCAACTGCCTTAATAAATAGCTATCTGACCATTTAATTTTTATTATCTACTCTTGCTGTTATAAGTCTATATTAAAATTACTTTTCTCTTTCTTTAAACATGGCTTTTGATTGAAGCAAACCATAGCAACTGCAAAGAAGTTACCTGCATCCCCTAAGCTCAGAGTGAATTGCTCAAGCATTACTAATTTTGAGGTGGGAGGAGTTGAAGAAATGAGGTCTTTTTATATAAAAAGCTTAAATGACTCATGAAAATTCTTTTGGCATAGCTTATACATGCTTGACAACAACAACATATATAGCACCTTCCATCACTCAAGTGCTGCACAAACTACTAAGAGTTCAACAGTTAAAAACAAAATCCCACCTTTATGACCAGCAAAGTCAAAACCACTAGGCATAACATGTTACTTGTGAGAGCAGGAAGCTGGTTGTTACTGAGTAAAGTTTCATCAGCTCTACAAAATACATACACTTGGCATTCAATAGATGAGTGTTTAAAAGTATAAAGTACTTGGAATAACAGTCCATGAGACTTCCAACCAGCCAAAATGTCTGTAAGGGAACAGATCAACACAATCGTATTCACTTATGGTTTCTGACCTTGGCCAAATTTTCAGGCTAATCACAGCAATGGTACACTGGCACAGAAGAAAAACCTGAAGATTTTCTCCTGCTCTCAAAGGGAAGAGACACATACCAACCACAGATAAATGAAGCTAATAATCTGCTGAAAGGGTCTATTAAAGAGGAATTGTGTTCAACAGTAATCTCTAGATCTGAATGTCTGGTCCACCCATTAGTAACTGCACTTAGTAATTGTTTTCATAGGCTAATCAAATTACAATTGCTTTTAGCTCTCCAGAACTCTTTTTAGGATACTCCAGAACCTAACTCCAGTAGTGATCTAGTATCTATTTTCACACTACTTTTAGCTAGAGCCAGCTTGTATATACTACTTTTGCCACCCACAGATCTTCCTCTCTGTCAGTCCTGCTTCCAGCTCTCAAATTCCTGCATCGTTCTCTGTCAGCTAAACACTCTTGTTCATCTGGCCAGCACAGCTAGAGATTTAAACTGTACTGGGTGCCACAGTCCTCGTCCCTTGACTAAATAGGAATTAATCTAATAGGGAAGCTAAGACTCAGTAACAAGACTGATCTTCCTCAAGCTCAGATGTGGAAAAAGGAAGTCCAGCAGAAGTAAGATTATATGTAGGCAATGTGCCACATAGTGGCGTATCTGAAAAACTATGAGGTATCACAGACAGCACAGTCTGACGAGTTGCCAAGTCTCATCAGCACAAATCTCCTGAGAGATGCCAAACACCTGGCTCCACTGCTTTTCTCTGCAGTCATTGCAACTTAAAATCAAAAAAGGAAATGCAGAAACTTTCTCAAAGTGCTGCTGCCCTTCCATACTGAAGACAAAGCACCCACACAGGAAGAGCATCTATCCATCCATCACATGACATGAGTGGCTTTCCTTAATTAGAGCTGAGCTAACATTAGAACCAGCAAGTGAAGAGAAGGCCCCATACATTGCTAATGCTTCCACCTACAGCCTTTATCTCAGTTCCTCTGCACCCTATACTGACTACCTACCCCACAGTATTCCCTTTGTCTTCTTGTCCCACTCAATCTTCTGCCTGAAACAACTCTCCTCCTTTTACGTGTCAAGTAGAATTCCCTCCCTTTCTTTCAGCACTTCCTTACATCAATTCCCTCTAACCTCTTTCTTCCACTCCGCTCTGTTGGGGGGCTTCCATTGCTATTATCCATGCTGCATAACAGGGACACTGTTTCAGTCATCACACACCTTGTCATTCAAGAAGACAAGCGTGGGCTTGAAGACCTTCTGTAAAGTACACCTGATGGGGCAAGCTGGGATCTCAGACCTCACAGTGAACAGCTGCTCCCTTTCAGCTGTTCATCCAGCAATGATAACTAATTCTTCGATCCAAACTAAAAGCCCAAAGAGGAATAGTCTCCCAAAAAGGGCAGAAAAGTCCCTGTGGTCTGGTTTGGAATCATCTGTCAGATGTATCAAGACCAGAGAAATAGCCATTCTTTCACACTAAAGACAGAAGCATTCCAAGTAATCAAAGAGCAGCTTTGACAGAGATAAGACTTAATTACAAGATGATCTATCAAGACAGGGCTGACATTTAGCATTTAGTCTGCCACACACAGCACTCTAGAAATACACAGAGCAGCCAGGAAATGTCCTTTTAGAGGTGCACATACCATTCAACCCAGAGCCTGTATAAATCACCTAGTACTACTGAAGAAACTCCTCAACATCCTTTAAGGAAAAAAATTCAAAACATGCCTACTGTAATTTACTCCCACATAAGAGTATCTCCCTAAACACACAGAAATCTAGAGTAAGCATGGGGCTCTTCAGCTACATAACATGAGCAGATGTCCAGGTCCTTCACAGAACCCTGACTAGTCTGAGTGTTTTTTACTTTACTGCTTTACTTCTGAAGTATGTGCAGCACTGCTGAGGCACTTTGTATTTTGGATGCACTACGCAAACATCAGCTAATTATCAACAGCTAACAAGAACACCCCAAGACACTGAATCTCAGGGTGTATCAAGAATTTTTATTCCCCCTTGCCAAAACAGGTAAATTTAAGAATTGACAGATGCCTACGAGTGTGCTCTCTGAACTATCAAACAGTATCTTCAGGCAAAAGGCAGCATATTTGAGACTCCATTACCATCAGTGCAAGACTCAGCTCAGCCTGGCCAAACAGGAATGGATTTGGTTCACCAGTAACTGCCAAGAAGGTATCACACATGCTGTTAGATGCAGGTTTTATTCACAATAGACATCCCGATTGTATACACTCTTCTCCTGAGCCAGCACTACACTGCAGCCATGCCTCTAGGGGCTCTGTTTGGAAGAAAACTGAGAAGAAATCACTAATCCCTTAATTAGGGGCACCCACTTCACCTTCTACAGGAATAATTACAAAGTCTGAATGGGCGACGTGTCACACAAGGCAAAAATCTAATAACTGAAAGTGACTCAGATTGTTGGTTCATTTCTCTGTACCAACACTCAGCTGTGCAAAGCTACTGAAGGGAAGTACTCAGTGTTAACTGAGAACAGCTTCACAAGCCACTCATCACTACCTTCTTCAAAAGCCATCCTCCATCAGATTTCTGATGGGAGTTGCATTACACCAGCCAAGTCACTGATCCCAGGTCTCAAGGACAGCTCCAGGAATACACAATTAGGACCACGTTCCCTTGAATTTTCATAAATCTCTTGTCTAAGCCACAACAGCTAGGGGATTAACTGTACATTCCTAGCTGAGCTACTTCACTGCTTGCAAGGTAAGAATAGAACCACACACCATATCCACAAAAGTCATCTGTTAGGTGTCATCATCCATTCTGCTACCCCCTTCCTCAGACCTCCCACACAATGACTGCATCATAAAACACTCCAACAAAGCTATGTCTGCTAGATTATGAGTCAAATCCCATAATACTTATCTATCTTGAGATACCAGTGGCATGAACCAGAGTATCTATCATCAATGCAAAGGTCAGAGTTAAAAATCCTCTCTTCCCTCCCACTAACATTTCTAGGTTGCTCTCTTCAGAAGGAGCTGCACACACTATTCTATGTGTACCCATCTCTTACAGTAAAAGGGAGAAGCAAGGTCCACCTCTCTTTACCCAAGATCCTATCTCCTTTCTATTCACAAATACCTAAGAGACAATCACCACTGCATAAAACATTACTCCATTTCTCCAATCAGGTGAAGAGGGACTCAGGTAATGGAACAGAAAAACAAAGGCATTTGGATACCATGGTGATCATGGCCAGACAAGAAAGTAAATTAGCTACCATTATGATAATGAACTGACTTTCCAAAAGAGGTGATTTGCACACTGCAACTAAGAAGCAAAATAAAGATGCTTTAACAGAATTGTTGCTTGATGTTTAACTCTGTAGCAATGGAACAAGGAGTCATGGCCTCTAAACAGCCACCCACTCTGGGCTTTTCATATTTGACTGTCTCTGCAGAGAAAAAGTACCTGACCAGAGCTCCCTCCAGGTGTAATGAAGCCTCACTCTGCATTTCTTCTGGTAGCAAAGCAACTTATGCACAATCTGAATGCACCGCCTGGAAAAGAAAAGGTAAAGGATTTGTTACACTGCATTTCCCAGCAATTCCACATCAAACCTGGAAATGTCCCTGAAATCAGAAACAGAAAAATAAGTAAATTCATGGCCCACTAGAAGAGGATGTGGCTCATTGTTTTAGGCTCCAAGAGAGAAGCAAAACCCGCAAGAAAGAACCACACACGACAACAAAAGGGGCCTGTATGCCAGTTTAAGCTCAGCATGGCTAGACTGACTACAAATGCAAGTTGTTTATATTTAGATAATACTTTCCACTCTTTGCTGCCCTTAGCTGAAGGCCTCCTAAGCTCCACAAAAGGAGTTACTTAACTTGCAGACTCCATATCATGAGGTACAGCACTCAAATTTTGTAAAATCTGGACATAGTGGAGCTTTTCGCTTTCTTTGGCCCAAATGATTAGGCTAAAGCAAATGACAGTCAAAGAACCTGCAAGATTTTTAGCTTGACTGACTCATTATATATTTAAGTATATATAAAAAAAATTTCTGTCAAATATTTCAGCCTCCTTAAACAAATAATTTAAGTATGAGCTTTGGAATGACAAACGAATTCACCTGTAAGTTCTGAAACCCCCGAACACACAGCTAGTATACTTGAGGTCTCCAAATCCCGTTGGTCTCTAGAGTATCTGGTGTTCATACAAACTCACAGGTGCACATTCTTCACAAATAAAGTCAGAACTAAATGAAGACAATGAGTACATTTTCTAGCACTAGCTATCATTGGAGGACAAGATAGAAAATATATACAAATTCGAATTTGTTAGACCTAGGTATTTTTAGTTACTGATATTAAAAAAAAAAAAAACAAAACCACACCACTCTCTGAAAAGACTCTACTGAAAGACACTACACAGACAAAGACAGAAATATCAAATTTTTAAAACTTGCATTGAAGTTACTCAAAACGGGGTGAAGAATTCAAAATAATGCTTTAAAAAGCCTTATAGAAATAATATGCAGAAGGCATACATCATTCTTTTTAGGCCCTAAGATGATCCTAAAAATACCCTAATGGGGTAAAGACTGAAACTAGCTTTAGATTACTAAAGGTAAAACTATTTATAACAGCCAAATATCACATTAACTGCTGTATTTCAGATTGGATTCTCATAAATTCAACCAAGAAAAGCCAGCAAACCTGCTAGGGTACAGACAGCTGTCTTCAGAGAAGGAACAGCAATCACTCTGGGGACAGATCTGCTACTTCTGATATTACTCATGCCAGACAATGCCCAGTACCTCTCCACCTATGTATCTGCTTGGTTGTAAGATTCAAGTTGGCCTCTGCAAAAAACCTATTTAAGGAACTGACCAGAGAGAATCTGGCAATGGCTAAAGTATTTTTTTTATCATTACAGTAGCTGTTAAGGCAAAATATTCTGCACACATCTCAGTATTGAGGCCCTGTGGTTGTACAGAGTAGCATAAAGCTTTCTAGGTGAAATCAAAGCATGGAAGGATGAGGAGGGGCACAACAGTCCTAGCACCCCTGCCTAAGGAGCTAAAGCACCAGCTACCAGCCTACAGACTCCCAAAACACACTGCTTCAGTTAGGAAACTAGTTACGAAGTTACCCACTGTGGTGGGACGCCCTTGCTTTTTAGCTTTGTGCTGAGGGTGCATAACACACATAGTGAACATAAAAAAACACCCTTGGTCAAAGCAACCTGGATTTCTCTTTTAAAATATGCCCTCCTTTGAGCAGCTTCATACTGTCACCTTTAAAATGCATTGCAGAGAAGTATGACACTCTTTGTGCATTCAGAACACCCACTTTGTCTGCAATAACTGCGTCTGCTATGGGATGGTTTCAGACAGGAGGGTAGTGAAAGGACTGCATAAACATGCCAAAATGAATGGATACAGATGTCCACTGATGGTTGCTCCTGCTCATTACTTTTACTCTCACAGGGTTTCTAGATGTCACCTTACTCATGAGCCCAAACATTTCACAACACCTTTCTTGTAAAACTCCAGTGCGCTACACCCACACACAACTAATTCTCTAATTGTCATTGAAAAACACATCTCTCACAAACTAATAATTGAACTGTAAAACCCTTGCAAAGGCACTGGAGTTGCAGGGTTATTTGGGCAAAATCAGAACATACTGAAAAGTTACCTTAAGAGAAAGCAGCCTATGTATCTTTATCTCTTCTACAGAATATAGTGCTGTTCAGGCCTTGGGGAAATTCAGTACTGTACAAGCAGTCAGAGCAAAGCTTATGATCTGTCTAAATCCTATTTCTGCCCTCCAGGCTAAAGCAGAACAAAGCATTCTAGGGGGCCTCCTGGGACACATGGAGTGCTCCTGCATAGCCCTGTACTCTTCTCTCCTTTTCCCCACTGCTGAGATTTACCCCTTGGTGCCTAGCAGCCTATTTCAGGCTTAAACCTCTCTCCCACTCTCTCCCATTGCCTTCCAGGCCTCACACCAGTAGTCCTTGGTTTTGCAAAACTGTCTTTTCAGTTTCTAGACCAAGATTCAGCTTCTGGAAGTAGGGAATTTTGCAATGACTGTTATTATGAAATTTCTTTAAGATTGAAAAGCTCTTTGTATTTGATCAAGTAGATCAGGAAATTGGTCTGAAAGGTGGAAATTTATTTTGCTTTCAATTTTCTGGCACACAGAGCATTTCAGAAGTAGAAAAAGTTGCTGGGAGAGTTCACAAAAAGCCATCCTGCTCCCCACCAGCCACAAAGTGTTATTTCAGCTAAAAGATTTCTCTATGACTAGAATGCCACCCAAATTCAAACAAAATCACAAGTCACCCCACAGACACTTACACATAGAGATCCATAGGAAATTCTTTCATCATGTGTGTGACAATGAACTCCACCATCAAATCTAACAGAAAAGAAAATTATAAAGTAAGTATTGAGCTAGCTACAGTTAAGACAGCACAGAAGTCAAACTACCCCACCTACCTACCTCTACCAGACAATAGTCCTGTTTAGATGAGAGAAATTACCCCGTGTTTTGTTTATTTGTTTTAAAGAGAACTACACATCCTCTGGAATTTAAAAAACAAACAAACAAAAAAATATCCTACTGGAAACTGAGGGCACCTAATGTAATTTTATTTGAGGTTCTGCTTCCCCATATGCTTTCCCCCACTATTAGTCAAAGAATACACCACAAATTCTGATGCTTAGAATTACTCTCATATTTCAAACCCTGTCAGTAAAGGAAAATTCCATTGAGAAGCACATTTTAGAAAATCATTCTTACCAGAAACAATGCACAACCTAGAGAGAAGACATTGTAGAGAACACTTATTTTTCCTTAAAATAAATTGTCTGATCTTAACACAGACTAAGCTTCTGCTTAAGGCTCATCAAGGGGAAAAAAGAAAAAGAGGCAGAAAGAACATCTCTAACATTTAAGGGTTCCCAGTGTGAGGATAAGAGGCAAAGAGTACAGAAATAAAATTGAAAGAGATAAGTTACTACAGTTCAGCTAATAAACACTAACTGAATGTGTGTGTGTTCTCTGCCCAATACAACTTCAGTATAAAATGCTTAACCTATGACAGTGGTAAAAATTATGAGATGTAACCTCCTAGGGTACTAACAGCCCAGCAATACAACTGAACATTGACTAAAAACACCCTAGTGAAAGAGTGCATGCAAGCTGATGCCTAGAAAGACTCTGCATGCAGCTGTTGTGTTTTAGCTTCAACAATCACCTGTTTGAAAATGCTGGAGTCTGAGACTGTTTCCATATCATCAGGTTCAAGAGTCATTCAGGCCCTATCCATTTCTGCACCCATTTATGCTTTTGGCCTTCACAGCAGTGTCAGAATGTAGTCATACACTGCATGAAAAGTTTTCAATTGAGCCTCCATACCCACATGCACAAACAACCTTAGCTACTGACATTCCTTTTTTTTTTTTCCCCCTCAGAAAAGGCTAAATGCCAAAAAAATACCTTCCCTCAACAAACATCTGTCCTTTGTAGGTTTGCCCTCATTATATCATCTAGAAAGTACAATCACCAACTGTTATTACACTCACGTAAAACTGAATTTATTTATCAGCTGCTTTCCCTATTGTTAGTTATTCAGATACAAGGGGCCAACAGGCTTCTGCAAAACTTACTGTAAATGTATATAGGATTTCCTGCTACAGAACAGCAATCTCGGATTTAATTTCTCTGTGAGGTAGCCAGGTATGGAGATGAGTGGTCCATTGCTGGAAATACCTTTAGTACATAACTGCCCTTCTTTTAAAGTCCATTCACCCCTCCTCTTAATCCACAAAGCTCAAAGTATTTCTATTGCAGAAGAAAAGATGCTCTGGGAAGCCCAAGTGGAAGGCCACAAGAGCACACAGGTACTCTGACAATACTCACCAAGCACCGCACACACCAGCGGGCGACAGGGCAGGTTCTTGTCTGCTGCTTTCTTCCTATGCCTCATTGGCTTCAAACACACAAAGATGAAAAGATGTCAGCAGAAGCCCAAAGTGGCATTCTGAGTATTACTGTATTTTTAATGCAAATAGTACCATCAGCACAGGCTTCCCTTTGTCTTTTTCTCCAACTGCTATCTCACCTATGCTAAACCTAAAGGCCATGTCTGGAGCAAATTTGTGCCTATTTCTCAGTGTGCTGACCACTGGGGTTTTGTTTTTCTAGCTGTGTAAGTGGATGGTACTGTTACATAACCAGGATGAGGGTAGGGGAAGACAGGGAAAATAATAATAATTAAAAAATAACAACCACACAACACACAATAATTCCTCCCCCTCGGTTAACATATTGATTTGCTCCTGGCCCAGGAGACTGATCCACATTCTTAACAGCGTGTGCAGTATTAAATGGCTTTGGGTTTTATTGTAACTGACCAGAAAGGTGAACTGAATGGCAAGTTTGTTGTTAGGTGGGAATGATTAACATCTTCACAGTATGCTCACTATTAAGATGGTTTTTACTGTCCTGGACTAGTGACACTTTCAAGTGCTGCTTCACAGTCATATGAGGTGGAACTTGTCAGTACCACAAAGACAGAATGCATCAAGTTAAGTTAACCAAGTTACTTGTAACTACAGAGCTTCACAAGCCACGTAAAGACACTTCCTCCACAGATGACTATAGGAAAATTCTCTGGAAAACCTTCCCCCCCGAAGGTGTGTCAGCCCAATCAGGATGAAGCATAAGCCAAATTAGAGCACTCAGTGTAACTGCAGCTGGCTATTAATAAATCACATAATGATTGCTGAAGATTAAGGCAGAACATTCTCTCTGCCATCGATTTCCTCAGAGACTTCATAACGTACAGCTCCTCCTCAGCTACACAGGGCTTCACCAACAAGGCAACCTGCTCTTTGTTCTTTGAAGGAGTGTGACATTCTGAGAGCAGTTTCAAAATCATTCCCCAACTACTGCATTTCTCACAGCATTTCTATATGCCTTAGCAGTCTAGGTTAGATATCTGTGACACAGTTTTCAACATACAGGATCTCAAATCCTGTGTCCTCATTCCAAAGAGAAAACAGATCATCTGGAGGAAAAGGGGACATATAAGAAAGCTGGGGAAGGACTTTTTAGGAGGTCTTGTAGTGGTAGGACAAGAGGTAACGGCTTTAAACTGGAAGAGGGCAGGTTTAGATTAGAAATTAGGAAGAAGTTTTTCACTATTAGGGTGGTGAATCACTGGAACAGGTTGCCCAGGGAGGTTGTATTGTACCCCAACACTGGATGTGTTCCAAGACTAGGCTGGATGGGTCTTTGAGCAACCTGGCCTAGTGGAAGGTGTCCTTGCCCATGGCAGGGGGTTTGGAACTTGATATCTTTAAGATCCCTTCCAACTCAAACCATTCTATGATGATTCTTATGAAAAGACTCACCATCCTGTGAAGGTTTACTCGAAAATTCATGTTATCATCATGGAGAAAAGCATTAGCATACTGATCCTATTGAAAAGAGCAAGAAAAGGGAGGAGATATAATTAGCCACCAAAGTGCCCAACATCTTCCATTTATCTGTCAAATCAGGTGTGTTTCAGTGCAAAACTCCCAACATGTAGCTACAAGGTTAGAAAGCAACTTGTCTCCCCTTATAATCCATACCCATGTCTCCAGTCACACAAAAGTATATCTCTCCTGATCCCAGTTCCACTTCAATTACAGTTTGTACTACTGCTTGTTTTATTAGCAGTTTATTTTCCATGCTCCTCCTCTGCTCATCAAAACTCTGGACTGTACACACCACACCGTGAAGAGTTTAGTAAGTGCTGTACAGCACACGAGGTGGTTCTCCAGCATTCAAGTTCCTGTGACTATGTGGACAAAGGTTTATATTGGCATTTTGATAGACACATGCTAGAAGGTACTGCAGTACTGGCAGGTAGGTTTATCAGCTGTCCCTCCCCTCAGGCAAAGCTCATCCAACGCCAGCTCTAAATCAAAGTGACTCCTCCAGGCAAGGCACGGCCAGCCTGGGTAGTAAATATACCCTCCCTTTAATATCAGGACCAAAACATGCCTTCACTATGAAGAAACAGATTTTTTTAACTTGTATTATCTATGCAACTACCTGAAGAATTTATGTGCTAAAAACATTTAATTATAAACAACTGAAATGCAGATGATTAACTCTGAGGCTGCGCCCTGAAGAAACTTTACTTCAGAACCCTTACACTGGCTATCAACATCACTGCCTTTTATTCTTTTTTAAGAATGAAAGGTCTTTACCTGCAAGCAAGCAAAATGCAAATGCCACCCAAATTCAATCACCATCCAGGATATTAGTTTAGCCATGAGTACATACTTCCCATGAGATAAGACCACATTCAGCTAGGACGGTTGACACAGTTCTGTGATACTTTCTCACCATACTACCACTCGTCTAGCTTGTAAGGACCTACAGCCATATGGTTTTCTTTCAGATTTCCATCCTTCTTAGGAAGGAAGGATATGGCATTGCCCATGTTTACCATAAACAGCATAGAGCTGAAAGCCACTAGCACATTTCTCATCTAAAAGCCACACCACAAGGTTACTCAATAGTTAAGAGAGAAAAGACTTAGGTTCACTCTTTTCTCTCTTCATCCCTGGGAGCTGGCTAACTCAAATAAGATGATCCAATTTTCAAGTTTCAAGTCGATTTTAGCAGTACTGCATGAGATTTATTAGCAAAACATTAAGTGCCCGAGGTCCTCGCTACTCAGTACCACTGCAGATCTTCAGCTCCAGCTCAACAGGAGCAGGGGATGTGCATGCAGATAAAGCTGTGTAACACACCATCTGCTGAACAGTTTCACACAAGAAACCTACCTCTGCTATGCACGTCAGGATAATCAGACACAGCTTCCCACTGTGTAGCCGGTGCTCGTCTGCAAAGAAGGAAAAAACAAGTCCTCTATGAGCCACCAAGCCTAGCAAAGCTGAAGAGCGAGATAGCTGTTGCAGGAACAGCCTTGGAGCTCCTTCATGCCCCTGCTTCCTCCATGATAGCTAATAGTCTAGCTACTCCCATTAAACACTCACCCTCCAGCCTGACCACTACATCACATCAATTTGTCACCAGTCTGTGCCAATAACAGTTTCTGACTTGAACCTCCAATTATCAGTAGGGCTTGTCTCATTCAGTTTTACTTCCAGAGATATTCTAAATACTGGGCCTAGTCTTTCTGTCACAGTACAAACACTTTTCCCTATCTTAGACAAGATTAAAATAAAAAAAATAAAAAAACACCTTTGCATTGGTAGAGTCATAGCACAAGTGTAGCAGAATGACTCCTGACACTATGCTCAAAGGCCTGAGTTTTAACCCCAATATTGAGACAAATGACCTACTTTGCTCTGTGCAAAACCATGAAAGAAGGAAGCCTGCAAAGACTTAGCATTTTAAGCCAAAGGAGTTCCACCCTGATTGTGTTCTGCAACTTGTTATTCATCTTACAGCTGCAAGCAGCTTTTGCCCTGAATGACAATTGGAGGGCTGAAAGACTCCTGGAGAGAGACTAAGGCAGAAGAATGCAGTTTTTATTTGGATTATTTAAAATTCTTCTCTCTCAGTTTTAACCCTGAAATACCATAAAACCAAGATACCTACAGTCTTAGAGTAACTTAGGATGGAAGAAACCTCTTGTCCAATCCTTGCTCAAAGCAGGGCCAGGTAAAATCAGGTTTTTCATAGCACTGTCCAGTCAAGCTCATTTTAAAATCTTTGTTCTAAAAAACAAACCACTCACACCACACACCCACAAAAACAAACAAACAAACAAAAAAAACCAACAACAACATGCTTACAAGTAAATAATGAGGAGGCTTAAAACTGTACATTCCTGAGACCTCCAGCAGCTTCTCTAAAGCATAAGAGCCTTGGAATCAGATTTGGAGGAGAGGGAAATCTGAAACAGTCAGATCACTTCATATAAATCAGAAGACAGCATTAGCCAAACTCCTTGCATCTTTGAAGGTCACTTTTACAAACACTTTGTTAGTTAGTGTTTAGTTATTGTAATCTATAAAAATGGATAGAATGAGCTTAGCTAGCTGTTCTGTCTAGTCCAATGCCTCTTTTCTTTTCTACACTGCTGAGGGACAGGTATTTAACAAGAAGATGTGCCCTGAAGTGTGCCAATTTCATCTTGCTGCACCAAGGAATGGGAGAGTTAAAAGTCTCTCCTCTGTCTCCTTAACTCAACTAAAATGCTTAAGTGAAAAGTCTTCTACTCCAGCAAATAAGGAGAAATGGCCTCAAAGAACTCTGATACACTGGAATCTTGTTATTTTCCAATTGTAAGGCCTCCCTATATATTTTTGTAGGCACTGCTACCACTTCTCTCTCTGGGGATCATGCTGTAAAGGCTCTTGTTTCAGACCAAGTGCTCTGCCTTCAGCCAATGTGTTGTGACCATTATGCCATTTTCAGCTGCTACAGGGCAGCCACACAAGCAGTTAGTACTTTCACAACATCCTTTGTTAAAGGAACAAAGCAGACCACCTCCTATGGGAAGGTGTATCACTATGAACTCTATTTTACAGATGGGAAAAATGATGCAGAGTTCTTATTTCTCCCAAGGCAGCTGCCTCTGAGTGACACAAGAGAGAAAACAAGACTAGGATCTAGCAAATGCAATCTATTAAATTATGCTCTCTGGGACGGGACCAAAACAACTGTCTAGTCCTGGGTGTGGAACAAATCAGTCTCCCCTCTAAGCGTTCCCTCCTGTCTTAAGACACATGCAGTAAATTAGAGTTATTCACTCTTTTCTTGGTTCTGTACTGGTGTCACATAGAATCATAGAATCACCTAGGTTGTGAAAAAACTTTTAAGATAATCGAGTCCAACCGTTAACCCAGCACTGCCAAGTCCACCACTAAAACATGTCCCTAAGCACCACACCTACATGTCTTTTAAGTTTCTCCTTCCAGGGATGGTCACTCCACCACTTTCCTGGGCAGCCTGTTCCATGTTTGGTCTTAAACAAGAAGAAAAGTCAGGCAGTGCCCCACCTATCATGAAAATATAAGGACAGCAACATACCTACTAGAATTAATAAGCACTTATTTGTCAGGCACGCTTTTTTCCAAAACCATCAACAGAGCTCATTGCCACATACTACCTTGACATCAAAGAGATTAAGTCTATCAGCCACACAAATTTCAAATTTTATACAAGCTAGAACCAAAGCAAAGAAAGAAACATCAGCTCCTGTCTCACACCAGAATAAACTCATCTCTTGCTGGCTTGTTTAGTAAGGAATCCCCTCTACCAGATTTCACTGCATCTGAAGCTAGTCCAGTTTGGCAGTTCCTGAGGCCCTATGCAGACTTTCCATATTACAGTGACTAATAAGTGCCAAAATTAAATTGAAAAACATAAAATTGTTCCATCAGAGACCTGAATCAGCAAGAGATACCCTGAAAAAGCAAATGAGAACGATTAGAGAGTTGGCAAGCCCTCCTCATGTGTGCAATCTATAAGAAAAGACTGAGCAAAGATTGCTGGGGTTTAGCTTCAAAACAAAAGCAAGAGGAAACATGAAAGCAGACTTCAAACACTTAAGGGCTGACACAAAGGAAAAAGAAATAATCCATTCTCAGTGTCTATCCTGGAGAAGATAACTAATAATTAATTTAAATCACAGCAAAGAATTTAGGAAGTGCATGAAGCTTTCTCACAATAAAGGTAGTTAAACACTGGAATGAATAGTCTAAAAACAATGCTCCACTATCAGTGTGCCTCCATCCAACACGTTAGCTACGTCTCTGAGAAAAGACACAGGTAAACCTGGTTCTGCCTTGGTTTTGAGAGGTGCACTAGATACTTTTATAAAATCTCTTTTGGTCCTAATTTCAACTACTCACATTTTCCTCAGCTAGCTTGCATACTGGACTAGACAGCCAAGTACAATTCCACTGCAAGCCAGGAGGTACAGGGAAATTCTTCTGCCTGCTCTTATTCAGTGCCAAGCATTCCTGAAGTTCAGCGACAGATGTATCATAGCTCTGCAGCTACCTTTTTGTTTTGGTTCAGTTGTTACATCTAACTCACTAACTTACCAGAAATTGGTAACAGGCTAAAACACAGCACAAAGTTCACTTTTTACATTCACACTGTGGTCCTGCCCATACAGGCCAAAACAGTACCCTCGGGTACCTTGAGCAGGAGATGAAGCAATACTTCAACTCCAGCAAGCTGAAATTAGCCGCCCTTAAAACAACCAAGAGAAAAAAAAAAAGCACAATATGGAAATATATCTTCTCAAGTTATTGTTGTTCTCTTTATAATTAAAGAGTTGTCCGTTTAACCAGCAAGTACCAAAGGACAAGGGAAGTATTTCCTCCTAATGCTGAGCTTGGCCTCCTGTGTCAGCTTCCAAATGTTCTTAAAAATACAGTTTTCTGGTACATGACCTCCTCTTTCTGACAGACAGTTGGGAATCAGATATGATCGCACGTCCTGCATATGGACAGGCTTGATTATTAGGTACTATTATTATTAATATTACATTCTTTCCATATTTGACTTCCCTCCTGCTAGCATGACATCTCTCGTAGTCTCATAACTCTTATCTCACAATAGGAAATAATTTAATTTTCTCAAAAGGTGGAATCTTCACTCCTCTAAAGGGATTCCACTTAACTGCTATTTCTGGAGTCACTAGACATGTTCTTATGCCCTCCTGACTTCAAGAAGCACTGCTTGCTGCATCCACAGTAACATCAATAGAATTTATTTACCTTTTGTGTCCTGCATCACAATCGAGCTGTACTTCAAGAAGGTTATCAGCAGGTTGCTAGTTTGCACATCAGCATCCAAAGGCAGCTCTGCAGAGCTTATGACTGGAACAAAGCAGATAAGATACATTTACCCTTTGCAAATACAAGAGATAACTGTAGAGAGAACAAAGTCACAGACTCACAGACCTGGGATAGGACCAGCGTATTTGCAGGGTCACTTGACCTGCTGCTCCTCCATGCCCACCCAACAAAGATTTTGTTTTGCAGGCTGGTATCACTCCCTCAGAGACCATTTCTCCTGCTTTAAGTATAGGTTATGGTACCTGGGAAAGTAATACCCTTCTCTGTCCTGCCTCCACCTCTCACCTCAAGGGAGATCAGCCTGCTGGTTTAGCACTGATCAATATCCCTGATCTCGGGAGCTCAAGGTGTTCTCACTGACATCAAACCAATTCTTACAAGCAGCACAACTAATATTCACACCATTCTCAGTTTTGAAGAAACATGCCCAGCAAAGATGCTTCTCTGTTTCAGCAATTTTGGAATTTCAGTTCCAAAAGGTCCACATCAATTCCATTCTTTCCTCCCAACAACAGCCTCTCTTGCAGAAGCAAGACATAAGACAGTAACGTAACAATTATTGAATGATAAAAATTATAGAAATGAGAGGTAGAAAGAGCATCTTTATAAGAATCAAGAAGCAGAAGCAATCATAGCTTGTGCTAGAGAAAACACAGCAGGGAGCAGAAATGTACCTTCCATACCTGCAGCAGAACAGCAGCTCATTGGCATTTCTCTAGGATATGCTCCTTGTTACCACCAGCTGTACTTTTGACGCCTTAACACTGGACATCATCTGCCTTAGACTTCACAAGAAGCTATCTCAATTAGTTAATTGTACAACATGCTGCCTGCTCCATGCACCACCTGAAGCACTGAGTTTATGAACCGTCAAATCTCTATCATGTGACTGAGCCACATTTTTACTGATGACTGAGCCTGAATGGCCCTTGCAGACAACTCTCAGTCTCCTCATTCAGAAAGGCTTTTATAAGAAATACTGAAGCATTGAAGGGGGCAAGTTAAGTGGGAAAAATGCAGCATACATTTACCTGCTGAATCTGTCAAATAAGCTTGATATTTTTTTTCCCCTATGATAAATTACCTCAGACAAAAAAAAAAAAAAACACACACACACAAAAAACTGATTGAGCTAGTCTAGGAGGACTTCAGTAAAGCATTTTACAGAGTTCTGTACAAAAAAATTAAGAGTGAAACAGACAGGTGGGAACCAATACAGTAATTTAAAGTACATCAAATATCTGGCAACAGAGAAACAACTGGAAAAATTGTTAGCCTGGGAAGAAGTTACTACTTCAATTCCTTAGGCATCAGTTTAGGGAACAGTTTTCTTTTTTGAAAGTGAGCTGGGCACAAGAAACAACTGCTTGCTAAGGGACCTGCTAATGGCAGAAAACTGGGATATGTAAACATGGAGGGGTATCAGACGGCACACAAAGAACAGGTTGAAGAACAAGGACCAGATAATAAATGCAAGATGACCCTGAGAACCAGAAGCCATAAGGTCGGGAAGGCAGGCGTTTCCACAGCAAGCTGGGAGCCCATCGTCTGCAAACAAAGCGCTGCGATAACGCCGTACGAGATGATGAGCTACCAACACAAAGCACTGAACCTCACGTTCAAAGAGGATGAACTCAAACAAGTTTAGAGAAAGGCTAGCAGGTCAACCAGAGGACCAGAGTGCCTTTCTTATGAGATACCACAATACACAGGCGAGTAACCCAAGATATGAAAAGGAGCTGTCTGTATTCCCAAGTAAGATTAACATCATGATAAATGCATATAAACAGACAAGAAACAGTTTGGCAAGTTGAAGATTTCTAACTAAGGAACAAGATGCTGAAACTGCCTCCAGCAAAGCAAATTTAACAAATTCAGATAGTTTGATAAATTTAAGGAATTCTATGATGATGTCCCTGCAAGCACAAAGCACTAGATTCAAGAAGTCAAGGGGAACTTTTCCAGCTCTACATGCCTCTCCCAGCATGACAACAACACTGCCTAGGAGCTCAAACTTGCAGGTCTTTCACATCCAGGAGGTCATAGGTGGCTTGAATGACAATTGCCAGAAGGCACTCTCTCTTCTCAAGCTATAAAGCAAGCCTAAGATGGGGTTCCCTTTGCACTGGAAACAGATCTACAGACCACTAGGACACACATATTAAGAACCACGTTATCTCTTTCCTATTTATCCTCAGGAATGCTCAAGGCTTTTCTGACTCTTGAGGAAAGAAAAAGGTATTTATGATGAGATTGGACCTTGCAAGAAGTGAGGAATTACTTGCATCTGATTTTTGTATGGCTAGGTTTGGGTCTCTGAGAGGGAAGTGATCTGATTTTGTATGCAACTGTATTTTGGTTCAGAGAAATGTCTGCTTTAACAAACAACACCTTTCACAATTCAAGCCTTGTATCTCATAACCCCGAAATGAGGCAAGTGAGGCTTATTTACTTCTGGAACTGGGGCAAGCACAGGCACAGAAGGATGAAGGAGATGAACCAACAGTAAAATGCAGGATTCTTTAAACTGAGCACTGACAGGCTCAGCGCATAGCAGAGGTTCTCATGGAGTCCAGGATTATACAATCACCTTGAATAGAAAATTCTACCCCTTGGAAACAACAGGCCAAATAGATCAATGTAACCTCGCTGTTCAAATCACATCAAAGAAATGATAATGGGGCTTTTAGCTTTTAAAGGCTGCACATCCCCAAGCGTGAGATCTTTTAGTCCATTCAGTCTTGAAGCTCCAAGGCTCCTGACACATTGCTAACGTGCCTAGTCTGTTGGCAAAGTCTATGCAATGAGACTGGAAGCTTTTTCACCCCCAATATTATAAGTAGCTCACCAATTTAGCTAAGTCTGAAAAGAGTATTTATATCCCCAGTGGGTCCTTCTGGAGTTGTTACAATGAACGCAGTGAATGAATATTTAACAACAGTAAGCAAACTGACATTTAGATAACTATGGTGACAGGCACACTCAATTTACATATTATGGATCAACAGTTTCTAGCAAAAGTCTCATTTTTTTTAAAAAAAATAAATCACTCTGAAGAACACATCACTGCTTATCCTGGTTCATGCTAAAGACCTTGATTTTTTTAACACACGTTTTGAAATTTTAAAAGCTCTTAACTCACACTACAGGCTAACAGCCAGAGAAATTTCAAACCAGAGTATGAACGAATTTTTAATCTCAGTCAGCACAAAAAAAACACCTGAAACCCACAGGTGAATTTCTACATGTTGCTGTAACTTGAAAGTAGCTCAATTACTTTTTTTTTTAATGTAGGAAAAAGAATAAAGCAATCTTTTCATCCCAAAGCCAAAAAGCCTCTTGCTAACTTTCAGCCATAGGCAAATTTTACAGCTGAGTTGCAAGACCTTAGAAAATGAAGAAAATTTTGACGTACCTTTAAAATAACAGCAATACAAAGCAAACTAAACCAAGCTGTGGTCTTAAAAAAAAAAAAAAATTATCACTGAGAGCAGGGACCAGCAAAAGTGACAGCAAATAGAAATAAAGAATGCTTCCTGATGTAACTGCATTAAGATCAGCTCCTCTCCTTAAACTTAGTAACCTTACAAGAAGCAGCAAGAAGCCTCGAGGTTCATAAGAACACTGCCTCTGCTGAAAGCAGGATGGAGTTTTTGTTTTGCTTTTGTTTTTAGGTAAATTAAAAAAGGAGTGCAAGCAAGCTGTAGGTAAGCATACATTCTCTGCCAGTTGTATAATATGGTGTGTGGGTGGGTACATTTGCAATGAACACTTTGAAGAGAAGCCCACAAAATGCCCGTCCCTCTACATTTTATGTTATATGCACAGGGAGGCTTGAGACATCGGGGGCTTTTTAACCAAAGCTTTTGATATCCATGGTAACCACAAAGAATTCATCCACAAGGAGGATCATCCTTAACTAGGATATCAAATGACCTGAATAGCTGATACAACTGAGTAACCCAGGGTGCTTTTCCCCCAGAAATATTTCCAAACTGTGCTCTATTCAAACGGATTCTGTTCCTTCATTAAACACTCTTCAGATCTAGAGGATGCCATTAAAGTACATGACAACAGCCATTTAATTTCTCCTTTTAAAGTAGGCTGTATCTATCCATACTTTAAACTAAAAGGGTTTTATTTTAGACGATTTCAAAGTGTATTTACGTGGACATGAGACATCTCATTTAAAAGACAGATCTCAGGACAAGTAGTCATTTACAAAGTCTATCAAAGAAAAGGCAACAAAAGGGAGGAATACCTCCACACTCAGGCTGAATTGAAATCCCCGATTAATTCAAAGCTGGGGACAAGTAAGCTAATGACAAGCAAGAATCCACTGCAACTCTGTGTAAATCTGTTCCAGTGACAAATAATCCCAGGCAAAGAACCTGACACTAGAAATATTTATAAGTTAGACCCTACAAAGAATAACTAATGGGCTGAGCACATCTTCATGCAGATACTGGAACAGGACTGTTTTCTGAAGGAGTATCAGCATAATTCCATTGAGCAATATACAAGGCAAAACAGAAATAAATTTGAGTCAAAAAATCTTCCTCATGTTTAATAAGGCAAGTTGCTCTAGCAAGAGACCATCAGGTTACATCCGCTCCAGGCAGACATCATTAGCTGCCACCTTGAGAAAATGCTTTGCCAGTTATTTTACAGTTTGTAATTGGGTTTGGTTTTGTTTTTTTCCCAGATCACCACATTTCTTACCATCTGAAGAAGGTGGGGTGGTTCCAAGTGGAGTGACAGGTGTTGTTGGAATTGGGCTTGTTGGTGTTGTCATCAGCCCCATTTCAGGATGGCTCTGCCAGGAAACACAAATGCCCAGACATACACAGGTCAATAGCTTCCCTAGGCACGAGCCGCACAGATCGTTACTTGTGCTGTTCCACGCTCTCACACAATAGATGTGGCTAATGAAGTCTCAAGAAACTTCAGCCTCCCCTCCAAAAAAGCAAGGCTATGCTTCCTGACCTTGGATGTCTAACAGTTAAACTGTACATCAATTTCTTCACTCCACAAAACATAAAAATACATCAGAAAGTGGTGTCTGTCCCCAGCAGGCAGATAACATGCCCTTCCCCAGTGCAGAATGGGAAAAGGTATGCAGAAGCCTACCCTGCCGACAGCTTCCAACTCCCCACAAAGCAACCCAAGGGTGTGCATTTGAAGCCTTCCTCCAAGAACCTTTTATTTCTCTTTCTAAAAGCAAATTCTCCTGGCTTCTGCCCTCCACCAGTTTATAGTCAAAGATGATGGCAATTTATTACTTCCCTGTCTCACGATAAAACCCAGGCAGTGCAGGAAAAGAGTGCATAACATAAATAACACTATCATTATTGATCTCCTCAGCTTCCATCAGTCAGGTACTGCCCCCATTTCATCTTTGCTAATAGTTGCCTGTCTAATTACTGCTTTGACTTCACTCTTGGGAAGCTTCCGGACCTATCCACACTGGTGAGACTGTGGGCAGTCTGCCATGCTATTTTAAGTCTGGCTGCCAAGCAAAGTGTCCATTTCACAGGGCAAGTTTTACATAAATGTATCATCCACCTCAACATATCAACACAATTTCCAAATAAAAGAAGGGGATACAGAACTGCTGATTTGATGCCCATTCCATAGGATTTTTCACAAGTGGATATCCTCCCCATGGTCTTTGAATATCTTATTTTATGAGCAACTACAAATGCATGTAATTTATGGGAAGCACAGACACAGATACTACATTTCAAAGACTAAATTTAAAGTCATTGCAGGTACCAATTTAAACTTTTGAAGGCAATTTTCTATTGACAATCTCACATAAAACAAGTTTGCTTCCACAGATTTTGGTGTAGTGTTTACCTTTCTTTTCCCCAAACAGCAATCATCAGCTGAGAGATAACAGTGCCACCTAGCAGTAAAAACCGAGGGCCAACAAGCTGGTAAGTGCACCAAATTCTCAACACTTCAGGCATCAACACAGCTGTACCCCTGCCCTTCCTATGTGCCTGCACAGCAGCAGGTAGTCATTCATACAGTCCCTACCAATGAACACCAACTTAGACAAGGGCATTCTTCAGCTTTTATGAGTTTTTTCCAAAGGACAGCACGACTTACCTTGCCCTCTCTTAAATGAAGGATTACAGACAATCCACCCAAGAACATCAGGCCTCCAATTAAACCCACTGATCAGTGGTCACTTCAGCTATCACTTTCACAAATAACTATCCTTTTATTTTCAATTTAAGAGCCTTTACTCTAGCTGCAATTTTCCTGCCCTACTCTTTTCCCTGCCAAAGGCCTCTCTTCCCTCAGAGGTATCTTGATGACAAAAAGGGCTGAGTTGGTATTACACAGAGCAGAAAGCTCTCACAAGTGGTAGGAATGAAAAACCTGGGAAAAGAGAGGCAGGGAGCCCCAGTAAATTAACCACCTGTAGGAACAGAAGCTTTCCTCAGAGGCAGTAGATCTGCTTATCAGACCTCTTCCATCACCTCTACTGTCAGGAGTCCCCAAAGGTCTCCTCCATCACCACAAGTGCCTAGAGCCCATGATGTATGTCTGAACTCTGAGGGCCTGAAATAACTGGGAAAAGGTGTCAACTGTTTTGTGGATGTCATTTTTCTCACAGATTACCAGCAGTACTTACAAACCGAAATTAAAAGCCTAAACCTGAAGGTTTTCCTAAACACATCAGGCTATCCTTCCAGCCAGCCACGTCACGATCACCAAATCAGACTCATCATCTGTCTCCCAGCAATAGCCACCTTTGCAAACTCACACAGTGTTTAGTAAAGCATCCAGAGGTCTGCAATTGACGTATGGAGCAGCCCACTGCTTCTCAGAAGGCTGCCACAGCTGCTTCTTCACCAGGAACAGCGTAAGGAGGAGCACTAAGCTCTGATGACAGTTTCCCAAGTAAAAAGGGTTGGGCTCTCCAAGGAAGTTGGAACACAAAATAGTATTTGAACTAACAACTCATCACATGTCGATCAGTCTCTAAACAAAGGATACACACAGACAAAAAATATGCAGTCTGTGCAGACAGGACAACGTGGACAACTCTGGAGCCAAACAGCCTCCTTCCCTCAACTCTAACTTAACAAGAGCATAAATTGCTCTGACAGCTGCAGCAATCTTACCCCTACCAGTCCCATCTGCCCATCCTCCCCCCAGAGGCAGTGTCAATAGGGCACAGAAGGCACTCCACACATCCCTTCCCATTCAGTGAGAAAAACAGCTCATTCCAATATGAGCAGTGCCCTCAAAACTTTACTTATTCTCTGGCAAGACCGGAAGCCTTTCCTAAGAGTATAATAAACCCAGGCCCTGGCCTGCTTCTGATCCTTCATGCTCACCTACACCTATGACAAGTATGCAGGCAGAAAAAAATAAAGAAACAACTTATCCTTTCATTGATTCCACTTCTGACTCTGTAATTTCAAAGACATGGACTACAAAGCAAAGGGCAAACATTGCACCGAAACTCACTTGTGCCAGAACTGTGATGAAATTCCGGTTTAAGTGAACAGCTTCATAGAGGGCCAGAAGGATTGCTTCATTTGTTCTGTAAAAAGGATATCGACATAAGCACAGTTAATGAAGAGCTAACACCAGACGAGAATCCCAAGAGCAATGTTTTTCAGAAACATGGCCCATCTGAAAGAATGATTTTTTCAATTTATAAAACTCTGCCTCTGCAATCCAGCTGTTCTTATTATTAGTAGTAGTCAGAAATCCATAAAAATAACTATTTTTAGAGCTCAACTACAGTATTCTCTCCCTTCATGCTGAAGGTGCTCATTACTCAGTTCAGAAGGTTCCCTTCATTACTCAGTGTTTTCCCTTTCAAGTCCTTTCTTTTAAGGGCAGAGGTTCCTACAGACACCACAAACCCTCATATCTATCACTTGCCCGCTTGATTTAGAAAATATCTTGTTGGAGACAAGAGTGCACAAACCTTACCTTGCCATCTGCCACCTCAAATATGCCTATTATATGTTTAAAATGACCCACAAAACCCACAGGTTTGGGGATTTTTTTTTTATACACTTCATTAGAAGCAATTCAGCTGTGGTTCTTCCTACTGCACCCTTTTCACTTCAGTGAGAATCCATTGTTTGCAGGGTGTGGTACCAATTTAGTTCCAAGAGAACTTGTGTCTCTAGTCTGTTTTGCTCCATGACAGAGCAGAACATGTTGACCAGTGTAGCAAGGTGCTATTCACCATGTAGCTAACATCCGTGCACTTACTGGACTGAAATCTTCTCATCAGCATCTGCTATGAACATGCTGCCCACCTATGGAAAGAGAGAGTATTGCATAGGAGGAATTTGTGAAAGCTATTAGACAAGCAAGAAGACACGGACTTCACTAAATCACAAGTGCCCTTTGAGAGGTGTTCTCATCCAAGGCACATCTGCAGCTTTCTCTCTAATACCAGTAAAATACAAATGGGAAACAGGATGACCATCTACAAACATTTTATTTTGCACTACTGTCATGCACCAATGCTTCACCTTTCAAATCATAAAAGAATTAAAAAATTACTGTATCTTGAATCCCAGCCTAAACTGGTCTGCAATTCTGGAAGAAGACAACAAAGATATTTCTTATCTGCTTGCCCCAAAGTGCTAACAGTTTAACCCATGTCACTCTTCACAGACGGCTGTCAACACTGAACTGTCCACCCTTACAGGAAATCTTCCTGTCAGATCTCAGACTACAGTTATATCTCAGACTAAATAAAAGGCAAACTGAACAAGGGAAACAGTGGATACTCTTTACAAGGAATTCACAGCTGCCTTTAGAAGGTAACCCTCCAAAAATGCAGACACTGCCCATTGTAGAATCCAAGCTTACTTCACAGCTACACCACTCCCAGGTTTAAGAAACAAGACAGTAAAAAAACAGATCTCTAAAGCTAGTGACAGGCTAGACTTTGCCACAAGAATATTCAGCTTCTCTGGTTTAGGCTACACTGTTTCCTTCCTTACCATATTAGTTAGGGCTGAGAAGAAACCACTCTGGTGCTCCTCTTCCTTATCTTTGTATTGCCTGAATAAAAAGGAATAAGGATGAAGCTTCAAGGTTAGAAGGGGGACTAGGGTTATTTTATCTAAATCCCTATCAGAAAATCTTATCTTAAAGCTTCAACATTCCCAAGCCCTTTGCAAGAACTTGCAAAAAGAGATGCAAAGGGTATTATAATATTTGCAAATTGCACAGAGTTGAAGGGGGGCTGCTGAAAGATGTGAGACTGAACAATGCCTGTGCTGTTACAGAGGCTACATCAGTCTGGGCTAATGCTGAAGGAAAAGAACCAAGTGACTTGGGAAGTTTTGTCCTAAACTGGCAGAACAGTAATGAACCACATGAACACAGGGTCAGTAACCACAGAACAGTTTCATTTCAATCACCACCTATTACAGACTAAACCAGAGACAACCATCTTTTGGTCAGCAGAAACCATAAAGGCCGTTATGGTTCATGGCCTGATCTTGCCTGATCCCACATTGTGGAGTAAGTGAAGGGAACTGGAGTTAAGTGAAGTCAACAAATAGGTTTGGTTCCTCAGATTTAAGCTAAGTTGCTTCATTCAGCATTCAAATAGACTAGTGAAGCTCACATGGCCATTTATTGTCTTTCATACAAGAATCTGATCATACACAATGCAATATGCAAAGACAAGAATTCTGAATTTTTGAGGAAGGGTGAAAGAAAGAGCTAAGCAAAATAGACCATAGTCTGAGACAAGTTTTTTCGGAATGAATGAAGTTGGGTGGGTGAGGGTTTTTTCTGCTTTAATAACTTACTCTGTTAAATACATTTGTATGATTTGGTGGCCTTGCAAGTTATCTGCATATCTCTAACAGCAGAACTCCAAAAGAATTAAAAGGTTTTTTTCTGGATATTTTGAGAGTCCTATTCCAGAATAAAAAAATAAAATTCTCAAGTTGCTCTGTTGAAATTGCTGTAAGTATCTGAGTTTTTCTTAAGCACTTTCTTCTCAGGAAAACATACATTTTGTGCTGTTGCTTATGAAGCATGGCTGGGAACATGCTACACTTACTGCTGGCTTTCTGGCTTTTTCTTCAGAAGCAGTTAATGCTTTCCACCATTTGCAAGAGCACACATCCCCTAATCATCTCTGATCTGGCATGGGGGTAGTCCTGGATACATTTGTTTGGTTTAGATTGTGTTTCAGTGAAATTGATTTTCTAACAGAGAAGTACTCAGCAAATCATTTATCCTTTCACTTGGGACTAAGATTTTACAAAAGGTTCGTACAGAGGTAAAATCCATGACGGTAAAAACATACAATAGGTACCCACCCCTACAGCAAGATCTCTCCTGAAGCACATCAGCACAGCTGGTACAGCTGCATGGACACTTGCAATGACAGCAACAACTGAGCCAAAGTACCTCAAAGCATAAGACCATTTGCTTCAGGTGCATCAGGGCTGTTATGTGATAAGTAAGTGCTTCAACAGGGAAAAAAATGTTTGTGGAAAAGTACAGCTACTATCATACATTGAAAACCAACAGACAATTAGGTTTTACCTGTTATATTCCGATAAAGCCTGGGCAATTACAAGTCCCATTCCCTGGGGAAAAAAAAAAGCATTAAAAAAACCCCTTTATGTTACAAATCTGAATGCAGGAAATCACACACTCAACACAGAGAGCAGTGCTACACCCTCCCAAGATAATCTAGCACGCTATGAAGAATTTCCCCTGAAGCTGTTTGAACTGTTAAGACATGCTATGATACAACAAAAATTTAATCAAAAAAATCAAGACACCAGAATTTAAAGTTGAATATCTAATAACTAAGTTCAACAGAGAACTTTTGCTCTCCTTGGCCCTCCGGACAGAGTTTGCTCACTCAAGAAGCCTCAATAAAGCATCAAGAACTTCAGAAAGAAGCTTGTGTCAGAGGAAAGACACCCAAAAGTTCAAAACAAAGGCCATACACACTAGTAACCTTTTCACTTCCTTCGAACACCATTCCACAGCTACTAATCATCCTTTCTGTCAAGCCAATTTAATTACCTCAGAATAAGCATTCTCACCCTTCAGTTAGCATGGAGCTTGCTTTTTACCTCATGCCTGAAGAGAGTATTCTGAGTCCAGAACTCACACAGCTCCTAGTGGCTGCCACCTTCTATCCAAGCCTGGATACAAAACTTAGGTAGTTGCTACAACCCAAAATACGCTGCAGGACTTCTGACTCAGGTACAAGTTTCCACTGAGCTACAAGAATTGACTCATGGACCGGTAAAATCAGATGCCACAGCACTGGAAATGACACCTTCTTTGGCACAAGCTATCTTGTGCCTCTTTGGCACGTGACAGCAAATAGTGTATAGATAGTTCATAAACGTATAATCAACTTCAGCATATTCCTTGCTGCCTAGCTTTTTAACCACCCCCACCACTTAACTGGTGATGAAACTGCCCATATTATGAGCTGCCTAACCTGTTGTGGGAGTGCAGTTAGGGCTGAAACCCACTATACTGGTGTTCATTACAGTAGCACTGTTCCTAGATCTTCTTTCTACCAAACATCACAACTGTATTCATTACACTAGCACCACACATGAAAGAGCATCCCCAGCAGTGCAGAGGAATCCAGTCAAATACTCACATTGAGCGTGGCTTCATCATCTACGATGGAGAGCTTCACAATATAGGGATTCACTGACTGCTCAGGGTGAGGGGAGAAAGAAGAAAAGAAATTTGGTTTTAAGTTCAGCCTTCAGGAAAAAAAAAAAAAAATCTCAACACTATCTTTCCAAGTTTACCCAGCTACCTGGGAAGAAGCTCTCTTCTGTCCCACAAAGCAGAATACACACAAAGAAATAGAAATCACACTACATGCTGAGGCCGCTATGCCTGGGGTACCTTCTCTTTTCTGGCTCAACCAGCCAGGCTCCTGATTTTATTGAGAGGAAGTTTCTGCTCCTGCACTAGCTCATCTGTCAGTCTTGAAAGTGGAGCAGCTGTCCTGCGAGCCCGTTATCTGTGACACACACACTGCTATGCAGCAAGAACACGCAGTGAAGCTCGGACTAAACATCACCCTTCTGGTATCTCCCTTCTACAACATCTTGCCAAGATTGCTGAAAGGAAGGAGGACCAGGAAAGCATGACAATGTTAAAGACTCATCTGCTCCTGGGTGAGAGCTCAACACTAACAGTTTGCACCACTGAGAGCTGAAAGTCGCTGGAGAATATAAATTCCTCAAACTTAGCTGAACAAAGCACAGAGGCTCCACAAAGGTAAGTCCTAATAATTGAGGAAGCATTTTAGATTAGCAAGGCAAGTTTGTTTTTCCTGGTTTATAGATGCCAGTGCAAAACTAACGAAGTTGATCTGGAACTAGGACAGAGAAGAAAAGGCTCTACCTATGCAGTAAGTCCAAAGTGGATGGGAATTAAAAAACACAAAGCATGTATCAGATACAGCCCTACAGGGAACAGTTATCATGGCTTGACAGCAAGTTAAAAATAAGGCTGATGACAAAACACATTCTCACAATTATTTGGTGCTTTGGGAGGATTAGGATTTGTTTCAGAAAAGAAACTGATCAGAATAGCCCAAATCTCAGCCAGACTGTCAGCCTGCCTCCAGCACCACACAGCCCTGTTTGCAGTCTCAGAAAAAGAGAGAAAACCCACACAGAACCCACCTGTGCACAAAGCATGCAAAGACAATTTCTTGAAGCTGGAGTAGAAGCTCCTATTGAGTAACAATATATGGTACTCTCTGAACAACTGTGCTCCCCTTCAGAAATTAAGTTTAGTCAGTGTCAGTAAAACAGAGGCAAGCTTTGCAAATTCATAATTAAATACAGATTAAAATCCATCCTTGCAAATATATTTCTTAGTTTCACTAATTTCAGTCATTCTCTTGCTCTCCTTATACAACAAGGAACTATCCACACCACAGCACATGCACAGAAGAGAGCCCAGCTTGTGACTCACGACCAAATAACAGCGATGGGGCTCTTCCAAGCAATGGGCAGCAGGACGATATTGGATTAGAGGCTGCAGGACTACCCAAATTCCCAGATGCAGGGAATAAGCCAACAGGGAGATACTACAGTGATCAACACCACCAGGATGCCCTGAGACCTTGTCATACACTTCATCCCACCACAAAAAGGGAGGGGGAGTGGGTTCGTTGTCATCCCCAGCCTATGAACACCTCTTCATGCTCCTGTTGCCCTGGATTTTCCAAGATGCACGCTCCACATCTCCTGCCTCTGGTCAGCAAGAGGTCACCAGTGCATGGCTGATAGGGTCATGAAGCTGGCCTAGCTTGCTACAGATCTCTGCCCTCTAGCTTTTCAATTGTCACTTCCATATCTGCAGAAGTCCACTTAATTGCTGTCTGAAGTAATCCATTCCCCTGACACATCTCTTACCTCCTCTAGGCTTCCCTAACCCTTTAAGCAGCAGGCAGATGACTAATCAGTGCAATCCACACATCATCTAGCTCTATGGGACAAGGAAGTTTCTAGTGCCTTTCAGCATGCAAGTCTGTACCAGTGTGATGAGAACATTTCCTGTGCTGCCCACGAGGCAGGTGTGCAGTTTGCTCCCACCCCACCTTGAGAGCAAACAGTTCCAGGCACTATCTACAAGTGTTAGTCTGCACATCTACAATGGACATCAGCAACCTGCTAGCTGTACAAGCACTCCTAAGCCCTTCCTACACTCCCTGCCTGGTTCTCTCTTCCTGCCCTTTCAGAGTGCAGTTCCCCTCTCACTGGCAATCACAGAAAACGTTTTAAAAGCCTAAATTACACTTGCCACTCCACAAACGTGCACAAATATGCAACAGCCTGGAAAAGCAGCCAATAAGCACTTTGAAAACTTCCAAGCATGTCAACAAAGTGGTTACACAAACTTAAGAGGTTCTGCTACCATCTGTCTCCAGAAAGAACTCCAAAATATGATTCTCAGCTTTTCAGAGAAGACAGGTCTTCTCCTATCACTGCCATCAGATAACAAACACTAGAGCAATTAAGGTCTTCTTGTCAGTGATGAGTCATGAACGTTATTAACTCCTTGAACCTGAGAATACTCAAGATGTCCTCCATGAGCCATCCACCATTAGATGCCAACAACCTTACCGAAATGAAGGTGGAAGCTGCAGGAAGATCATTACCAGGTAGTTTTTAAAGCAATCCCCAGATGAGGCATGGCACACAGAGCAACTATTACGTGAAGTACACGGGTCTGGCATAGGGAGTGGAATCTCCCAAGAAAGCAGGAAAAAACCCCAAGCTATCCAGGTATAATCCCTGGTTAGGTGCTTAACTTATCTTCATATCCATAACAAAATTAAGGCCAGAGCTCACTCAATTATCCTTTGCAAGACCTTTCCCTGTCACTCATTAGGGGTGACTCAGCAGCTCTGCTGCCAGCCCTGACAAGGGTGTCTTCTCTGCAGGCCAGGCCATCTTGCAGGAAACTGTAGCTGGAATAATTATTCTTTTTGTTAAAGAAAATCATTTACTGATTATTTTGAGGTCTGTGAGACTGAGACAGTTTGGAAAACCAGCCCTGACAAGGGTGTCTTCTCTGCAGGCCAGGCCATCTTGCAGGAAACTGTAGCTGGAATAATTATTCTTTTTGTTAAAGAAAATCATTTACTGATTATTTTGAGGTCTGTGAGACTGAGACAGTTTGGGAAAAAAAAATTTTTGACTCTTCAATGTTGGTGTCTCTTTAGTACCTGTAGTCAACCATATTGAGGAGAGGCAAGTGCACCTAAGTAGACATGAAGGGCTGTCAGACAGACTGTATGCTGTCAGACAAGCACACAAAGGGACAAACCCAAGTTTTGACCAATTTCTTTGAGCTTGGCCTAGAAAAAGACACAATATGCAATTTTAGCAGGTTGAACATGAGGAAAAGAAATTTCTACCTACATATTATCAAGGAATCCAGCTATTTAAAAGTCATTACCCATTGTATGTTCTAATGTGCTATTCTAGCAGCCAGCCCTTAAAACAATGAGAAGCTGATCAAATACATACTCTTCCTCAGAGCATTTTCCCTGTTCGGCAGCCTTTTGTGTAGCCTGGGCTTCACCATTTTCCTAATATAGCCAATTATTTAGTTACTCTTTTAAATTTCTCTCACATAGTATCAAGGTAAAAATATTTTCTCTGAAATCAGGACTAGGATTTTTTAAAAATATATAGCTTTTGACATTTATTACATTTCAGATCAGGGACATCCCCTTAAAGCCTTCAAGTAAAGAACATCCTGATGCAAAACATACTGGTATTCACATTAAAGACAGACAACCATAGTCAATTAATGAATTTTCAGCTTAATCAGATTTTCTTAAGCAGGCAGAAACAGAAATTAGTAACCAGTAAAGTTCAAAACAAAGGAGAACCTACCAACTACAGCACAGTTAAGAATTTGAGGCATGAAAGCAAGCTACAATACACTGACAATCAGGCAACCACCACACTGACTAAGGGCCAAAGAACAGCAAATGACAGCAGTTACTCTGCTGAAGGACAAAATTATGACTGCATTACTATAGGCTTTGCTTGTAGTGCTATTTACAAGGGGCAGTGCCAAGCAGCTGTCATATAAAACCTCTCTTCAGGTTCCTTTCCACCTTGCCAGATGAACTACTCAAGCTGAAATTCCCCTTGCTAAACATCTGCCTCAGGATTGTAGTTTTTAAACAACAGCACAATTTCTTTTGGGTGCTCAGTCCAAAGACATGGAGGACTGTTTTCAAAATCACTCAACCCCAACTCAGTACTCTAAGGAAAGCTACTGCAAAGGGCAGAGGACAAATCTTATGTACTCACAGCACTCTGCCTTACCAAGGACATAAACCATAGCACACGGGGATGGGAGTAGACAGCTCTCCATCTTTTGACCTGAGTATTGGAAAGACCGGAGGTTTCACTGCAATCTGCCCACCTCAGTAACTGTACCACACCTTTCCAAATATCTCCCTTAGGCCATATACCAAAACCAAACTCCATGCTCATCTTCCATGCTACCACAAGGCAGATTGATTGAAGAGAACCTGTAATTCACGATTCTGACAATCACAGGAATGAGAAATTAACAAGGATGACTGACACTAAGTGTAACTCCTGGTTTCGCCTGTTCTCTAGGTCTATTCATAACTCAAAACAAGATCCATTATACAAGCAGGTACATTTTGGACTCTGCCCCCTCCCAGTAATTCTGTTGAGGAAGGGGTATTCTAGCACTTTTCCAATTTTTTCCAACCTAAGTATATTAAGATATGCCTAAGTATGAAAAAAAATAAGACTGATCATTGCTTTCATCATGCCTCATGCAAAGAAAAGCCAACATTAGGTGTTTGAAGTGTTTCTTTTTCAAGCTGGCTAACAGAAAAACATGGGAATACACCACAAAGTAGCACACCCAGTTCAGAAAAAGAATGATGAATGAAGTTTCTCAGAGAAGAATCAGTCAAAGAGATAAGAGACAGACTCCTCTTGGAAATACTAGCTGTGATGTTTCAGCTTGTTCTTTGGCTACAGCTTTGGCACATCTTCTGGGGATCTGTACTTTCAGTCTGCTAGTCAGGCTCTGAATCATAAATTCAGTGTGAAGCCCAAGATGAATGACAGTTCATTTTACTTTGGAGTTTATGTATAACCACCTAGTCACACACAGAGAGGCAAACATGGAAGTCTGCCACAACAGTAACTCTTCCAAAAGGACCTTCCTCACAGTACTTTCATGAAGGAAATGCAAATCCCCTAGGTAGTTTCTTTCGTGCTTGCACAAAATGAGCTGTATAAATATCACACACATTTGATTATACACGTGCATCAGACACAGATACAATTAGCACAATATGACTGCCTTGCAAGACTTCTGTAGCTCTGTGCTGATACCTCAATAAATGTTATAGTGTGTGCTGCTAAAAAAGGTACTGTAGGCTACCTTAATAATCCATAGGCCAGTGTAAATTAATAAAGCAGAGTGAAATTATGTTTCTGTTATGCAGAAGGATACCTACCTCATACTTTCTGTAGTTGACCAGCAAGGCAAGAAGGACAACAGCATCATAGCCGTGCTCCCTGCGACTAAGTGGGCTGGACAGGATCTGGAATAAAGTCAAACAGTTCTGTTCAGGCCTGTTTCAGGAAGCCTGCAGTGACTGTCAGATGGTGCATGGCCGGGAAACATCTGTGTGAAAGCAAATTATGCCCTAACTGAAAAAGGATACTTAAGATTGAGGGAGCGTCAGTGCTTCCAAAAAGTTCTGCACACAGAGAAGCTTTACTTATCACAGAGAGGATGCAGACAGGCTTTCTGGGCATAAAATGCAAATACATTCCTCAACAGCACTGGGCAGTATCTCAGTGCACTGCTGACTTCATCTCTTTCCTGGGTTTCCCCAAGCCCAGTTCCACTTCTAAAAAGTGCAATTTATCAAAGAGCAGAAAAAGCCTCAACGTATCCAAACTGCCTTTTTGAAATTCCTGCCTCTGATACAGGAATTCTGTGTGAAATTAGCCCAGAAATCTGTTCAGTTTCTATCTATGCACAAATGTCTCAAGTGAAAATACTTTAAATACTTAGTAGTGACTAAAAACAGCAGACTACAGTAAGGAGGAGACAGCATTTCAAAAAAAAAAAAAAAAAAATCTATGACTGAGCTATGAATGGAAGCAACACACACTGCCAGTCATCTATGCTGCACTGAGAAAGCTGAAAATCAAATATATCACTGAAAGTTTTCACTATGGAGGAAGGGTTCTTGCAGTAGAAGGAAGAACTCTTACCTGTAAAATAGCTTCAAATATGCTGTTAATCATCACATATTCCAGGATAGTGTTCTGGCTAATGTTATCTGTCACCTGGGTAGAAACATAAGTTTTAAAATCTCACCCAAAGCCTCCCATGATGCTGTAGCTGCCTCTGGCACACACTGGGAACGGAAGAGTTCTACTACCAGATGGACACATTTATCCAGCATCTCACACTTAGTCAGCCAGTCAAGGTGTGACTAGCAGCAGAGCTAGACATAAAGAAATCTGTCCTGCCTCTCTAGCAACAAGCATGACTCACACACTAAAAGCTCCCCCTTTCTTCTACAGATTGATATTTTACCCAGCTGCATGACAACAGCCATCAGCTGCTGAGGCAGGCTGCTACACAGGAGGTGGAGAATGAAAAAACAGGGCGCATATGCTCCATTAAGCAATTCCCCATCACTACCAGGGCAGTGAAGGCCTCCCCCACACTCAGTTCTCTCTTATTGCAGCCAAAATACTTCACAGCTGACCATCTCAGATGAGTAACCATTTTTTCCAACTTCCTCATTCTGCATATACTCACCATTCTTGTCTACTCTACACTTCCTATCTTTCCTCAAGCCCTCTCCTCTGCTCCCTTGCCATTTGTCGGAGACTTCTTAAGTATCTTCTTCCCTAAAAAAGCCCTGTGAATCTAATTGATGTCCTGTGTCTCTTCCCTTTGCCCCAGTTGGCACCTATCTTATGAGATGAAAACAGTCTGCTAGTCTGTACTAGCACAGTGGTTAAAGCAATGATGATTTTGGGCTGACCCTTGTTCTCATTCACAATTTCTTCCCCCTTCTTAAGCTGCACACTGCAGCAGTCTATTTAGGTTCTGAGACAGTTCCATCACTCAAGATGTGGCTCATATAAGCCTTTAAGTTATTACATGGATGGTATTTACCGTCACCAAGCAGAGAAGTAGCTTCAGACACAAGCTTTTGAGGCTTTCAGAACCTTCTGCACAGAGGAGCGAGTCCAAGCTCTCCATCAGATTCTAAAGAACAATAATCACATTATTTGAAAGCAGCATTTAAAATTATTTGAAATGTTGATGATAAAAAAAACATTTGGGGAGATTCAAATACAGAGCATGTTTATAAAGCTGTGTTATTCCAGAATCAATAATTGAGCCATTACTACTGTCACACAGGCCATATTCACACTATTGGTTCTCAACAATTTTGTGTTAACTACATTTTAATTACTAGGAGCATAACAACATGATCATTTTCCAGGAGTTTTCACTAGACATATGAGAGGTTTTTGCACACATATAAAAATAGTAATTCTGAGCTCTATAAACAGAATCTTCCTTTTTGTTTGCAAGACAGTAATATCAGTGCTTTCTTTTTTCAATATTCCATTTTATTTATAGGTGCCATAAGATTTTTTTTGTAAGCAGCACACCTCCAATTTAATATAGTACATATATTAGTTATGATTAAAACCAGATATTTTATAGCTGTTTGTCAGATATTCATAAAAGTTTTTCAAACACTAACCTACAGGTAATATAGTTATTCTTCAAGGAAAAATGTAGTTCTGATAGGAAAGTTACTACTTAATGGTTTTCCCAAATGTACTATTTTTAGAAAGACAAAAAATTACTACTTTTTGTAGACAGATGAAAGACCATAGAATCATTAAGGTTGGAAGAGACCTCCAAGATCATCAAGTCCAACCATCAATCCAACACTACCATGACCACTAAACCATGTCCTGAAGTACCATGTCCAAATAATACAACAGGAATTCAGCTTTATCACCAATTACTTTGTCATTTCCCAAAACTCAACATCTTTACACTGAAGAGCATCAAGTAAGTTTAAAACAGTACATGTCCTAGTAGATACGACTATCATCTGGAAATTAAGCACAAGGTACAAGGTTCTATACAAGGTATTAATGGCCAGTGACAGCCTTTTCTGGCCTTAAGATGTCTTAACCATAGTGACTGTGCAGCATGGAACTGAAGGAAAAGGAAGAAAAGTGCTCTGTTATATTACTAACATGGGGACCTCAAGCGTTTTTGTGCCACTAGCAGGTAAAGAACTTCAGGACTTCATGAAGTCCTTCATGAGTGGCTGGATTATTTCCCCTAAAAGCTGCACCTCGGTAGACACACCTGTCTACAAAGCACTGCCCTCGCAACAAGGTAGCTGTGCAGACTGTAGCTCTACATTGCCAGGGCCTCACCTTCATACATAGCTCTGCCTTATCGAAACCCACAAGCATGTTGATGATGTCAAACCCAGAAGTGGATTTGTTCTTCTGATGGACACCCCGAATCAATGCACACAATGTCTGCAAAGGGAAAAAAATCAGAGAGTAAGATGTAAGGCAACACCTACCGCTCAACAGCAAAACCCGCCCCAAGACCGTCTCCTAGCACTGGCTAAGCACAGATATTTAAATTAATACCACCAGTTTTGAAACCACACATTTTGTCTGACCTCTCCTCTACTTCTCTTGTTTCTCAGGAGGATCTTGGATGCTGAAAACTCAAAAAACTTGGAGAAGAATATATTCGTCCATATTTTTCTTGTTCATTCAAGCCCTTCATTTCATAGCACTCTGAGGAAAGACAATCTTACTGCTTTTTCTGTCCAGATTCTGTACCAGACAGGATCACAATCTTTGGAAAATAGCTAAGTGTGGATTTAAGGCCAAAAATATTGATCAGGAAACTGCAAGGCAGAAGCAGTGATCTGTGGTGAGTTTTGTCATCAGGCACCTTTCAGGTCTGTGAGGAGGGAAATAAGCAAGACTACAACCACTGCAGTTTTAGACTCCCAACTAAAATTGTAAGGAAAAAAACTGTGACAAGTAATTAGTTTCAGAAGATGTAAAATTGGACACAAGCAGACCTCAAGCAATCAGCAAATCTCTACAGCCATATAGAAGCAAAAGGGTAAGACAGATATGCTTTTTGGGTTTTTGTTTGCTACTGTCAGAGGCAAGATACTGGGCTAAACAAATTTTTGGTCACCACGGTCATTCTCAAGAAAAGATGACATAAGTAAGTTTTGCCTTCAGGATCACTTTCCACATGACAACAGTGTGATTAAGGGAACACTCTTCCAACTCAGGAATGTGTTACCTAATTCCTATTTAAACACACAGCAGGATTCTACACTTGAGCCCTGGCCTAACTTTTGCCAAAAGCCTGAACACAATTTTGGAAATTCGGGGCTGGGCTAGACTGTCTATGTAGCTATAACAAAACATTCAACCGCATCCTTTCAAAGTAATTCTAAAAAATAACTAAAAAAAAAATAACAGTGCAAGATTGTATGTCAGAGATGTAAATACTCTGTTTTAAATCAACTTTTCCCAGTAACTGCCTGTCCAATATCTGCTACAGGTGACTTCTCCAAACCTGAAATTCGTATCCTGTATTCCCACACCTGAGGGAAACTGAGACAAACCAAACTGTAAGAATCAGCCTGTGAACTAATAACATCAAACATGAAGAGTGAGGAGGGGAGTCTCCTGCACAAGACATGGGACAGCTCAGCTTTGGTAAGGAGCAACCTGCAGGAAACCAGCTGTTAATTCTGGGTGACAAAACTTCACAGCTTCCAATTAGCAAATGTCAAGCAGGGACAGTCCCCTGTATAAACTTCACACTAACTTCTCCAGAGCTTTATTACATTTTTGATCCATATGGAAATTCAAAAAGGAAGCTGAAGTGAGGGAGAGCAGGACAAAGTAGAATATAGACAAAGCTACACAGAGTACTCCTGAGCCTCAGCCTGCCACGTGAACAAACCTCTCTTGTCCCTCCATTGCCATGTGCTTCATCCTGCATCACCAGATCCTCTTGAATTCTGAAACAAGCTACTGTTCTTCAAAGACTATAGAGACTATGAATGTTTGTAACCTCTGCAGACAATAAGCAGCAACTGCTCCATAGACATCACTTCTTCTCAAGCAAAGAGACAAGGGCAAGATGTTTGATACCAGCAGCAAATAAATACATTGCTTCACGAGAAGCAAAAGAGAGAATTCCCAGTCTCTCAGCACGATACCTGTAATGCATTGACCACTCTGATCGGGTGTTCTTCACCCAGTGCCTGGATGCAGTGCTGAAACAAGCAGTTGATGTTATCTTTTATCTTCATTAACTCTTCCCCATCCAGAGCCTCCAGCTTGCCTTCCAGATATTCCAAGTTGACCTGTCAGGTTAAGAAGCAGTTTGTGTAAGTTACATAAGCACCAACACCCGAGAAACACAAACCCTTGCTCCAACAGTCTGCCACTTTGCAGGCAGAATAGCAGCAGCACACCAGAGGAAATTCAATTCCTGTTACCTTCATAAGAAACAGCTCCTCCCAAAACCTTGGGTTGCATTTACTGGGGTCCTCTGTCTGAAAAGAAAAGGAACAGCCATGAGAGCAAACAAGAGGAAATCATTCAGGCAGAATTTGAAGAAAATCATTATCATGAGTAGTTCAGAGTAAGCATTATTCCACTGACTGAGCAAGGGGTCTCATAGTACAGAATTCTGTCTATACAGATTCCCAGAAACAGAAGGGCAAACAGAAGCAGCTCTCAATTAGGATGCCTACGTTTATTTTCTGTATTGTTTTTTGAAAAGCCACGACTTCCCACAGACGACAAATGGCCCCGGTAGACAACAGGAGAGGCGACGTTAAGGAAGAGAGCAGGATACAGAGCTCTACATGACAGTAGGAGAGTGCCTACACTGTGCAGTCCTTACCTTGGGAAAAGAACCCACCACACAGAGCCCTCAGCTCAATAAAATTTAACACAACGCTTTAGAAAGAAGAGGTGCTCAGGTCCTTACCGTGAAAATTTCATCATACATCAACACAACTTTCTCCTTCAGTGGCTTCTTGGAGGCTGAGGATTTCCGGAGCAGCCCACCTTTCTTCTCTGTTTGGGCCATGCTGTATACCCTGAAGGTAAGAGTAGAGAAAAAAGGCTAAGGAAACTTGAACATTACTTCAAGGCATATCTGACCTGCCTCAACCATGAAAGACTTTTTCACTGCACTAAAATACTAATAGCATCTCACAAGCTGAAAATGAGGCCTTTAATAGCTATAACAGATAAGAAATCAGATCAAAGGTCACATCTAGTCCTATATCTCATTTCAAAGAAAGATGCAATAGTCCATACAGGAAGATACAGAATAAGCTCCTTATGGATAAATTTTCTTAATTCTTCTCTGCGAGGAACTGATTCATGATCCAGACCAAGGCAGCTTACATCTAGAAAAGTATGGGGGTTTTAATCCCACTGCATGAACGGTGATACTTGTTATCAAATGGATACCTGGTCCTTTTTGATGCTGGTCAAGCCTCAAGGGCACCTTGGGACAAAAAGCTCCTGAAACTTTTTGAAAAAAAATCTTATCTGCTTAATTTGCTGCCTACCAAAGCACTTCAAATTCTGCTTTTGCACCCAGAGGCACTGTCACACTAGGAAACATTTGTCTGCAAAGCCTCCCTAAAGCACTCCTGCCACCCTTGCTCATCCCTACCTCTGCACCTTGGCATCCCTCAGCTGTGCCAGCTGCTCTGTAAATCAAGCCAGAGAAGAACCACAGCCTCAAAAGCATCACACGTGGCGCAGTTTTGGGAGGAGGGTGGAAGAACACAGGGGTGGGGTGAAGCTTTGCAGTTATTATTTTTTTTTAAAACCAGGTAAATTCCTGATCCATTTGACAACAAAGTGTTTTCTAGCAACACAAAAAGGTTTTACCATAATTAATTGGTGTTTCATGCTTCCAGGTTATCCTATTTAAAAAAGGAAGCATCATCATCACAAAATGAGCCGTTGCAAGAAGTCAGTGCCATAGCTGTGGTGCTGAACCTCCTGTGACAGTCAGCCCATGCCAGGGGCCAAGTCAGAATGCGTGACTCGCCGTGCACTCTCAGCCTCAGCTCTGATGCTACAGAGCACATCAACACTCTGACTTTGCAAATATGTGTTTATCTGCAATCACAGATTTTTCTGGCAAGCATCACAGCTTTAGCACTGTTCTAACCTCCTCTGTCAGTGCAGCGCTGTCAGAGGTACTTAGCAGAAAGGGAATGCCATCCTTTCTCATATCCCTGAGCTCCCAACCTTTCTTCCATACCTCCAAAGGTAATTACACACACGGCAGCAGCATACCTCAGGCAGAGGCTTAAGTCATGCTCCAGAAAAACATGGGCAGGCTCTTGCTGTAGCTGCACTCAGCCATGCTAAATTATGCATAGAGTGTTAAGTTCACTGCAGTCAGCACACAGCAGACCCCAGAGCTTTCTGAGCTGGCAGCCATGGAGACAGCTTTGGATTTAGCCTCCATCACAGACTGACTGAACCCCTTCCATGACCACAGCATGGTTAGATCTGCCTTTACCTCACAGAGCAAGTTCCAGCAACTACACAAGTTCCAGATCTCTTCTACATTCTTTTCACTGCAGATAGCTTTTGATTGTCTTAAACTACAACTGTGTTCTCAACTAAGACTCCGAGTCAGGTATCCAAACATCCATCCCTTGAGCTGCAAATCTCAGTTCTAGGTGACAGGAAAACATTTTTTGGCCTGGAGAAACAATGCTGCTGCAAAAGAGCCTCTGCCAGATGTGAAGGGAAGGAGCTGTGCCTGGCTGGGATAGCAGAGGGTAGGACAGAGGGCAGAAGATCTCCCAGCTGAAAAGCAGAGATTTACTGGGGAAGGAGGAGAGGTGCTCTCTCTGCCTGCTAGAAAGGTAATATGCACAGCTGGCTGGCCTAGGGCTCGTGTGTGTGCCAGGGTGAGAATAGAAACAGCTCCAAGACACGACAACAGAAGAAAGCTCAGCAACTACTGCACCATAACCTTCGGTACACACTGAAATTATTCCTGTAGCCCATTAGGTCTATATACCCAACTAAGATGGAAAAGGTTTCAGTCCAACAAATGAAAAACGAAACATTATTCAATCACCTTGATAGCTTCTTTTACAGACTTTACATTATTTTTAATCTGTCATGGGAAATAAGACATTATTCTAATTAGAAACGTAATTGGAAAGAGAGAAATCTATTAAAAGCCAAATCAAGAAAGATGTCGCTTTTAGCCTAGCAACACAAATCTTACCCGAGACTGCACAAAACAATTTCCCAACTGGAATTGTAAGTTTGTGAACTTTAAGCAGCTGCCAGTCCCAGCATACAAACACATCCATCAGCGTGCTTCTAATTGAATTACAGCTAACGAATCCCAATGTCAAAACTAATAAACTAACTCACTGCTTCTAGGTCAGCGTTCTTACATCAAATGTGTACATGAATGGGATCAATACACTCTGCTTAGTCCCTGGACTTTGAGAGCTGCATTTTAACACTTTTCCTGCATTTCCAGAAAGACAGAAAAATCTAAATCCCACAAGACACAAAGGTTTGATGCAGGGTGAGCATCAGAGGGATCGTGTGGTCATGTGAAAATTCTAGTCTCTGTCAAAATGAGACTTGGGATTCATATTCTCTCAATCAAAGCTGCTCAGACACATATAAAGAAGACCGCTACAGGCAAGGATTAAGTAATGTTCTTGTTTATAATTTGCTATTCTACAAATGATCATACGGAGGAGCAAGGGGAAAAAAAGTAAAAGTCGCCTTTCATGCCAACGCTTTATTAGGCTGTGCTTGTTTCATGGCCTAAGATGATCACTCTGTACAAATGGCTTTTTCTTTTCACTTTATGCAATTACATTTTCTAATGTCATAAAGACAGAAACAGGAAACTGCATTTTGCTAATGGGGACCTTCTAGGCAGCTGCAGGAAAACACAGTTAAATGCACAAAACGTTTATAAATAAGTCATAGAGATGTCAAATTACCAGGATGCCACGACGGCTTATGAAAACAATGACACTGAACATAGTTACCAATTATCCTTTAAACGCATCACGTTCAAAAAGCGCCAGTGCATCTTCCACATTTTAGGTACAAATGGATAATTTAGTCTGTCAATAGGTCAGTCCCATTAACACATGCTGCTAAGTGAATGCTGCCATTGTCACCGACTGCCCAGGAGGACAATCCTTCAGGGCCAAAGAAGCACAAGTGTGTGGACTTTTGGAACCACAAGTACTTTGCTGCACAGCAGAAGATCCAAGATGCTTCATCTGGAACTAAAAGAAATCTCAACAGACCACAAGTCCTGGCAGCTCAAAGGTAGGAAGATAAAAGCCATGGAAGACAGAAGTTGAGGCAGACTCTTGCTTTATCTAGCATCAACCCTGGGATCAGCTGATTCAGTCAGGAGAAAAGGGATGAGCACATCCAATCATCCACCTCCTTTCCATTTCATTCCAGCGCAGATTCCGACCAAACATGTGACATTCTGATGAACACATCTCTGTTAGCTTTTCGTCAGAACATCCACATGAAAAATGAACCTGACATTTTGGGTCTGAGGTTTACCCAGACTTAATGCACACTGAAAACTGTGGCTGCTCCACATTGACACAGCTCCTGTACAGATTTATTATTATTCTGTAGATCATCTTGTAACAGTAAAAAAACTACTGCAGAGAACATGACACTAATGCACACCTACACTACGGCATCAGGATCCAAAACCTGTCACTTCTGTAATTTTTCAGGCAGCCAACCAAGCACGTGTTTTGTGTTTAATTACCTTGGTTAACATAATAAACCTGAACATTTTCAGGATTACAGGTGCATATATACAGCTCCCACCTACAATCAAACATGAAATTATTTTTTTTTTCCTTCAGTGTGGTCTCTTCAAAAAAACAAAACAAAACCAAACCACCAAACAAGAACACCTCTTAGCTAAATAAAAAGAAACTGGACAGAAAACATATTGATTTACTTGACAAACCATTTATTCCCTCTCTGGAAAAGATAGTGCAAGTGATGTGATCTGTGTTAGTTAATGCCAAAGCTCTAGACCACAATATTTATAAAGACTGTGAATAAGAACCAAGATATTTTTGCTTCCAGAAACCAGTATCTCTTGACTTGCCACTGCTACTAAGATTAGAGTCATCTGTTGAAATATTTCAAGGCTAGTAATTGCCCCCTCCAACAATTGCACACACACACTTGGGACCCAGTCTAATCACACTTTGCCTTTCAGGGTATTTTGCAGGTGTATCACTCAAGTCTAAAGGAAAGTTGTTCAAAATCTTGATGGTGCAAGACAGGGAGATAAACTCCTCGTTTAAAAAGTTAACTCATGGCTTCTAAAGCAATAAGTCATTAAACTCTTGAGAGAAGTTCCAGGAACAGCTTGCACTTTGTCCACGTGTTCAATCTTTAGAGTCAACACTGGACCTGAGCAACAGGCAGTTAAAACACAGGTTCCAGCAGTTAAAATACAAGCTCCTGCACTTGTCCATCACAGGAAGCAACAAACCACCTGCACCCAGCACTGGAGTCTATGACTCCCAATGCACAGACAGCACCTTGACCCAGTTCAAGCTCCAGTATTAAAACATGGGACCACGCAGCAGCAGCCACCGCCTGGCAGACCACCAGTGAAAACAGAGAGAGGAAAATCCATTGGGCCAGACTATTGCCAAGGCTTGAGCAATCATCATGACCAAATTCCTCTTATAAGCCCTTCTGCAGCTTATTCTTTGCCAACTCTTGCATTGGCAATTACAGTCTCCTTTTATATTTCATCCATCCTTTGCATCCTCGTTTGTATACTGTCACTGGAATGCTAACTGCTCAGACTGTACCTTCCTTTACAACCATAAGGTGCCCACCCCACCAGCAAGTGAAACCGTAACACTCACGGCACACGAGCCTTGGGCCCATCTGGCAGAATCTCCAGGTGCCTTCACGCAACGTATAATAAGAAATATATTCTGAGGGTGTGCTGGTGACAAAAACCCCCACAGATCCTACTTCTTCTTCCGCAGCATGAAGCAACACATTCTCTAG